AAAGAGAGAGAGAGAGAGAGAGAGAGAACAGACAAAAATTAGGAAGAAAAAGGAGCAGACAAAGAAACATTTTTTGAAAATTCAGACAAGGAGGGGTCCCTGGACCCAACCCCTAGGGAGCGCGCTTAGCTCTGTAAGTGATTGCTCATTACAAGTCCCCCTAACCCCTAGAATAAAAACCTAGCTACGCGAGTGGGTAGTTAGCGTACATGACCATGATGAAACCAACATAAAGTAACCTAATTCATTACCAAACAAAACATGTATACGGAGCCCCTCGACTCCATAGGTGTAAATATACATTTTCTTCCGATTTTTTAATTTTGTTATAGCCATTATAATGCTCAGTATGGACTTATAAATCTCTGAATGTTCCTCCGATGGGAGTGAAAGCCTGGTGAAAGCCGTCCCCTTCCCACGTTCTGAAACAGATGTGGGTTTTATTTTTCGATATGACAGGCGTGGGATATGCTTTTGCCCCCTCTCGCAACACCCCCCTCCTTAAACGAGACCAAGCGCCAGATACAGCACACGTCACCATTTAACGTACCAATATTTCAAATTTTGGCCCCCCCCCAATAAATCCTGGATCCGCGTCTGTCATCATCATCACCATCACAACCACCATCTTCTTCATCTTTTTTTCTTTCTTCTTTTTATTCATTATTGACAGCTTTTCATTATTATTATTCGTCATTATCATCATATTATTATTTAATATTCTTCTTCTTCTTTAGAATCATCAACACCATTATCATCCTCATCATCATCGTCGTCAGTGTTGTCATTGTCTAGACATCCTCATCATTTTCATCATTTTCTGGTGATTTCAGATTTCATAATTCATATTTTTGTAGTTGATTTTCTCCTCCACCTCGTCTTTGTTTCAGGAGAATAACAAAAAAAAAAGGCAAGAGAGGAAGGGAGGAAGGAAGGAGAGAAAGAAAGAAAGATAGTCCGAAAAAGAATAAACGAAAGCAAGAAAGAAATTATATCCTTATTATAGTCGAGAAAATGCACAATATAATAATAATAACAATAATAATACATGTGTTCATAATACACATAATAATAAAACAAAGACGTGTTACATGTAGGCCCCGCCCGGTGAACGTTTTTTAGGGGGGGATAAAGTATTTACGAGCAGATAGAGCGTAGTAAATTGGCGTGGGGTCTAGAGGCAAACCCCCGGAAGGTAGGGGGGGGGGGGTGGGCGTTTAATTACAGTTAGATGAGCATATTTTGATACCTCATTATTTTGTGACGCTGGTAGGTCACGTTTCTTTCTTTCTTTCTCTCTTTCTATTGCTCCCGGAACCCTGAAATGTAGGCCTCTAAATAAGCACATTTCATGCCTCATGGAAAATTTAGGGGCAACTGCCCCCCCCCCCTCACTCCCAAGCCCCCCCCCCCTCCCCTATTAGTACGCCAGTGGGCTGCCAGCCTCCAATCTGCACCTTGTTGGCGGGAAAAATTGTAACTGATCTCACCTACCTTTCTTCTTTCTCTTCTTTTTTCCCGTTCTCTCCTCTTTTAGTTTCCTTATTTCCCTTCTCTCTCTTTCCCTTTTACGAGGAGGGGGGGGGGGGGGCAAGGCCCTCTCGCCCCCCGATCTCTTAATTCTTCCCTCCTTTTCTTTTCTTCTTCCTCTTCTTCCATCCCGTTATCTCCTCTTTCCATTTCTCTTCTTTTCCTTCTCTCTCTCTTTCTTTCTCTCTCTCTTAGCGGAGGAGGGGGAGGGGCAAGGCCCTCTCGCCTCCCGATCTCTCAATTCTTCCCTCCTTTTCTTTTCTTCTTCCTCTTCTTCCATCCCCGTTATCTCCTCTTTCCATTTCTCTTCTTTTCCTACTCTCTCTCTCTTCTTGCGGGAGGGGGGGGGGGGGGGGGAGGCGGGAAGGGGAAGGCCCTCTCGCCCCAAGGACCTCCTTCTTGCCCCTTTTTTCTTCTTCTCGTTCTCTTCTTTCTTTCCTGTTCTCTCCTCTTTCCATTTCTCTTCTTTTCCTTCTCTCTCTCTTTCTTTCTCTCTCTCTTAGCGGAGGAGGGGGGAGGGGCAAGGCCCTCTCGCCCCCGATCTCTCAATTCTTTCCTCCATTTCTTTTCTTCTTCCTCTTCTTCCATCCCCGTTATCTCCTCTTTCCATTTCTCTTCTTTTCCTACTCTCTCTCTTCTTGCGGGAGGGGGGGGGGGGAGGCGGGAGGGGGAAGGCCCTCTCGCCCCAAGGACCTCCTTCTTGCCCCCTTTTTTCTTCTTCTCGTTCTCTTCTTTCTTTCCGTTCTCTCCTCTTTCCATTTCTCTTCTTTTCCTACTCTCTCTCTTCTTGCGGGAGGGGGGGGGGAGGGGGGAGGGGCAAGGCCCTCTCGCCTCCCGATCTCTTAATTCTTCCCTCCTTTTTTTTTCTTCTTCCTCTTCTTCCATCCCCGTTATCTCCTCTTTCTATTTCTCTTCTTTTCCTACTCTCTCTCTTCTTGCGGGAGGGGGGGGGGGGAGGCAGGAGGGGGAAGGCCCTCTCGCCCCAAGGACCTCCTTCTTGCCCCCTTTTTCTTCTTCTCGTTCTCTTCTTTCTTTCCTGTTCTCTCCTCTTTCCATTTCTCTTCTTTTCCTTCTCTCTCTCTTTCTTTCTCTCTCTCTTAGCGGAGGAGGGGGGAGGGGCAAGGCCCTCTCGCCCCCCGATCTCTTAATTTTTTCCTCCTTTTCTTTTCTTCTTCCTCTTCTTCCATCCCCGTTATCTCCTCTTTCTATTTCTCTTCTTTTCCTACTCTCTCTCTTCTTGCGGGAGGGAGGGGGGGGGGGGGGAGGCGGGAGGGGGAAGGCCCTCTCGCCCCAAGGACCTCCTTCTTGCCCCCTTTTTCTTCTTCTCTTTCTCTTCTTTCTTTCCCGTTCTCTCCTCTTTCCATTTCTCTTCTTTTCCTTCTCTCTCTCTTTCTTTCTCTCTCTCTTAGCGGAGGAGGCGGGAGGGGCAAGGCCCTCTCGCCCCCCGATCTCTTAATTTTTTCCTCCTTTTCTTTTCTTCTTCCTCTTCTTCCATCCCCGTTATCTCCTCTTTCCATTTCTCTTCTTTTCCTACTCTCTCTCTTCTTGCGGGAGGGGGGGGGGGGGGAAGGGGGGGAGGGGCAAGGCCCTCTCGCCTCCCGATCTCTTAATTCTTCCCTCCTTTTCTTTTCTTCTTCCTCTTCTTCCATCCCCGTTATCTCCTCTTTCTATTTCTCTTCTTTTCCTACTCTCTCTCTTCTTGCGGGAGGGGGGGGGGGAGGCGGGAGGGGGAAGGCCCTCTCGCCCCAAGGACCTCCTTCTTGCCCCCTTTTTCTTCTTCTCGTTCTCTTCTTTCTTTCCCGTTCTCTCCTCTTTCCATTTCTCTTCTTTTCTTCTCTCTCTCTTTCTTTCTCTCTCTCTTAGCGGAGGAGGGGGGAGGGGCAAGGCCCTCTCGCCCCCCGATCTCTTAATTTTTTCCTCCTTTTCTTTTCTTCTTCCTCTTCTTCCATCCCCGTTATCTCCTCTTTCCATTTCTCTTCTTTTCCTACTCTCTCTCTTCTTGCGGGAGGGGGGGGGGGGAGGGGGGAGGGGCAAGGCCCTCTCGCCTCCCGATCTCTTAATTCTTCCCTCCTTTTCTTTCTTCTTCCTCTTCTTCCATCCCCGTTATCTCCTCTTTCTATTTCTCTTCTTTTCCTACTCTCTCTCTTCTTGCGGGAGGGGGGGGGGGGAGGCGGGAGGGGGAAGGCCCTCTCGCCCCAAGGACCTCCTTCTTGCCCCCTTTTTTCTTCTTCTCGTTCTCTTCTTTCTTTCCCGTTCTCTCCTCTTTCCATTTCTCTTCTTTTCCTTCTCTCTCTCTTTCTTTCTCTCTCTCTTAGCGGAGGAGGGGGGAGGGGCAAGGCCCTCTCGCCCCCCGATCTCTTAATTTTTTCCTCCTTTTCTTTTCTTCTTCCTCTTCTTCCATCCCCGTTATCTCCTCTTTCCATTTCTCTTCTTTTCCTACTCTCTCTCTTCTTGCGGGAGGGGGGGGGGGAGGGGGAGGGGCAAGGCCCTCTCGCCTCCCGATCTCTTAATTCTTAAGATTTTTAGCTCTTTGTTACGCGCATGCACGATACCATAAATCATACGAAAAGTCTGCATAATTTTGGACTGATAGCTTCAGTTTGAGGTGCACGACTACAGCGTAAACGCGTAAAGACTGTACTGAGCGACGACGTCGACATCGAAGCCCTAAACGGAGGTTTCCCGATGTCGGGTGTGATCCAAATTCAGGTGGAAAATGCAATATATGATTATGATTAAGATTAGTAAAAAATTGGGCTAAAATTCATTTGCTAAGAATGGATATTAACCTGCTAAAAAAAAATTGATATAAACGGATACGCATCTACATAAGCACCGGTTTTCTCATAAACCGGGAGATTCTACATCGTTGGCAGGAGAGCGGGAGGAAGGTGTGGTGGCGGGAGTCTCCCGCTACGAGCTTTTGGGACGGCGGGAGAATGAGCGTGGTGGCGTGAGACTCCCTCCAAATGCGGGAGGGTTGATAGCCCTGCTTAACTTAAGTGCAATGGCAATGCCAATACGTTACAAATAAATGAGAATTTTTCAAACTTAAAAAAAAGTTACGTAAGACTTAAACTTAAGTGAACTACTTAACCTTTTAAGGATGCTGAAAAAAATCCTAACAAATAGAGGGTTTGACTGTAATATGATTTTGGTATTGGATCAAACAAAAAATTGCAAGCTTTCTAGCACCAATCTCTTGCTTACTTTACTTTACTACGATGTTGTACAGTAGGTCTAAGCCTGTTCATCGATCCAGGATTCTTCCATGGTTACTGCTATTTGTGGAGGGAGGAGGTTGTGTAATATCATTAAACGAATGGCAGCCAGTGATAGGGAGAGACGGGTTGAAATGTGAGGATGATTCATTGAGCATACATGTATGTGTCAATCATATTTCTATTGACCAAAATTTGTGATATTCATTGATTTTATTTTGCTTTTTTTTTATTATTTTATTAATACAGGGCTCCTGTGTTTAGATGGGACGAGAAGCTCCTCAATGGTGCTAAAAAGCTGGAGTGTAAATGTCTTCTGATTGCAATAGGCCCAGTTGCAACAGGTAAATATCATTTCTTGTCTGAGTAAATTTGTAAAAAGCAGTTACTTGTAGATCGACAATTGTACAAGTTTTCCAATTTGTTGATTCAAATACTGTTTAGATTTTTTTTTGTCTTGGCATCAGACATTTTGTAAACTTTTATTTCAAATCATTTTTGTGATGTACTGACACTTCTGACAATTACAATTACAAGTTGATATCTTGAATTTGGTATATACAGTATCTAGCCATTCTTTCATTTTAAGATTACCCCCAAGTACATTTATGTCCAGCAAACCACATCTACACGAGCGTTCTTTCCACTTTCAGTACTGGTAGTTTGGGGTAAAACAAATAATGATTAAAAAAATGCATTAATGTGATTGTAAACTTTTCTTGGCTTATTCTTTGTACTACATTATGCTTGGTAATATGCAACGTAATATCTGAAGCATTTGCAACTTTGTTGTTGCCCAATTTAATTTTCCTAGTGACTTTGTGTTTTTATTCCATAATTTTACATCATCCACTAATCTGGAGCACTTGCAAAATTGACAAAAGTTTCTTGCACTTACCAGTTTCCGGTTTTACAGTAAAGATAATATTATGCTTGTCTCAAAGTTGACTTGTATTATTTATGCTTCTTAATTTTTTGTTCCTCTGATTTGTGTTGTACTTTCTTTGTCAAATAATATGACAATACAAGTATAACATTTGTAAAGTGATAGTTGGCAACCCAAGTTGTAATAATGTTGTAATAATCTACTTTATGTCTCACTCTGTATGTAGGTTTTGTTGACAGTCTGTTTGGTCCTGATGAGAGGGAGATGCTGTGCAATATTTCATGTGGAGGGAGTGATGCACAATCTCATACTAGGGAACAAACAGCTCCCTCTGATTCATCAGCTTTTGTCTGGAGGTGAGAAGAGACTGAAGTTTATTTTATGATGCATAGACAGTATAATAGGAGAAAAATGCAACCTTTGACTATATCACTGTTAGTCATGTTAGCACTTACTACTGTATGTTAGTCTATACAGGCATGAATCATCGTAATTGTTGACAGTGAAAAACATGAAGGATCAAAACCTTATGAAAGTGATCACATCGTCTGTTTGGAGCGAGATGGGTGCTCTGTGTTGAAGTACATGAGTAAATGAATGCCCTTCAGGCTCCAAATGGACAACATAGTGTACTTTGTTACCAAAAGATCAGTGATGATACAGAAATGATTGTATCATAAGTTTTGAAAGATAAACAAGCTACAAAGGGTGCTAAGAATTGATTTTAACTTCACTCTTCTTGTTATTGAAATGATTAATATCATCATCATCTTCATATACTTTTTTTGTTCTTCTGTTTATACTGCATCTCTTCTTTATTGATTATTTTTTAAAGAAACTTTAGATGCGAATCGAAGAGAAAAATATAAGTGAAAGTTCACCTCACTATTCTTGTTTATTTTGCAGACGGAAGGGGAGGCCAGAGCTAGCGTTGTGTCAATGCCAGCAGCCTGTCTCAAGCCAACAAACATATTCATGGGTGCAACAGGTAAGACCAGTCTTGGAGACAATCTCCTTTTCTGGGAGCAAAACGGAAGTTGAAAAGAAAATTGCCGAACATGTTCTTCTTTTGTTCTATATATATATGCATCAAAGTGTATTGAAAGCTTTCCGTGAATTATAGTGGATTTTATTTATTGTAATACTATCAAATTATTTTAAAAGCAGAAATGTTCAGACTACTCTCAACAAGGTATAATTTTGAAGATTCATTAAACATATACGGTAATTTAATTCTAGTTAAACTGCACTGTATAGTGATTGGGGTAGAGAAGAAAAGATGCTATAGACATATATCTCACTATTGAAGACTAATGCTTCATACATTATGAGAAAAAAATATATACATTGTACATTGACAGAATGGATGCAGTATTAAACTTGTTGATGCCCTAGGCAAATTTATATACTTGTGTTGTATTCATTTTATTTGTGTATTTCTAATATAAATTTTTCTGTATTCTCTTATAACTTTTGGAACTGCTGCTACAGATAGACGAGTGCTTGGTAAAATTAAGATAGACAAATTAATATTCTTGAAGGATCAAGCACTTTCGGTTAATAATCTAATGCAATATACGATGAGTGATTAGAACAAACTCTGTATTTGTGACACAAAAGCTTGCATGCTCGACCAGACACTGTTTACTACAATATAAATCATCACAAACCCTTTTCCCCCTTTTTTGTTTTCAGCTCTTTTCCACCGCCGCGCCCTCCACCGTGATCATCCTGGACAGCCATAGAGTAGGAGAGCTGAAGACGGATTTAGATCTTCTCTCCAGAGGAGATAGTTTTCCGTTGTACTCCCTCCGATCATCGTCTCTGACCGCTCAGGCGTGCTGTCCGTACCTAGAGCCTCCCAATACTGTGGGTGGACTAGGAGCAGAGGGTGAGTAGAAAGAAACCTTAGGCCTAAACAAAAAAAGATGTTGTATTGCCCTTTGCGACCGACCCAAATATTTTGAAATCGACGGTCGGCTTTTTAAAAGAATTTTTTTTAAACCATTTTTTAGAGAAAAAAAAATTATTAAAGCATTCAAAACTGAGAAATATCAGCTCAAAGAGGGAATTAAAAATATATAAAAAAAAGTTTAAAAAACAATAAAACAGATTTCTGACCGACCGAGCCATGTTTTGGCACCTAAAGGGAAATGCACCATATTTTTGTTTTAGGCCTCATTAGAGAGTTTCAAATCCAAGTTGAAATCCTACCTTTTTAATTGTTTAATTTAGCAATGCTTGACACAGGAATATGGCACTTACTTAGACTCTTTCTGAACTATTTTTCTTTGTTCACTGCGGAATACAAGTTCCAGATAGATGGAGGAATACAAATGACAATTGTTTGTGTTATTATCATTGTGAAACTAAGAATATTAAGAATTAAATTTAAGAATATTTATAAAAAACAATTGGACAGAATTACACTACAAACAATACACAGTTGGAATGATCATTTGGGTTTTGCCACCCAAAACATGAGAGATGTTCAGTTTGCCAAACTAGGGGAGATGTGAGCAATTTAATCTGGTAATCTCTTTACAAGTAACATTTCTAGTAAGAAGACAAACCTTTCCTAAAGTAAATTCCAAGGTAAATCCCCAAAAAGCTCTAATGAGAGAAAATGCATTGTTCGCACTGGTACATGTACATGTATGTTGTAGGAGGACCTCTCTAAAAGCATGTCAATGCATGTACATGCACTGTATGTTGGTATGTGGTTGGATTTACTTTAAATATTGATGTCGGGTAAATGAAAGAGCCCCCTCTTGTGTCATGTATATACATGTAACAAAAGAGATTGTAGTCAAGACGATGATAGTGATGATGAGGGGAAGAGAGAGGAGGAAGAGGAGGAGAGTACAGTGATGATGATAATGACAAATGATGATTATTTTGGTGATGATAAGGAGTGGTGAAGTATATGCTTGTTACAATCAGTGATGATGATAAATTTGAAAATGTTAAAGACAATGATGATTGCTCTACCAGTATTTCAGATTATTCTCGTGTCCAGATCTGAGAGAACCTTGAAGTGATTTTGTTTTGTTTTTGTATTTTGTTTGTTGTAAGGGGTAGGGTGCTGATAGTCAGAAAATGAAACTTGCTTGCCTTCCTAATTATATTACTAATGGCCTATCCCATATATCCCAGACAGATAAACTTTCCAGTAAACAGAATATACAATTTAGAGATTTGAATATTCACTTATAAGTGACTAGATATGTTGTGACCACATCATTTGCATAACTCAAGTTACTCAACTAACATACTACTATTGCAATATAATTTGTTGAAAGTACTATTTAGTTTTTGAAAATACAGTTTAAAAGTCAATCGAACGGGTATGGGAAGAAAATTTAAGGCTTTTTTTTTGGGGGGGGGGGGGTCCAAATTGGTTGAAATATTGCCTTGTTGGCTGTTGGCATCCAAGTGGGTGGTTTGGAGGACCAGATTACTTTGGCACTTTAAAATTATAAATTGACTCATATGTGTCAGTCAGTACCTACAGTTGTATGCCAGGGAGTATTAACCCTACTTAGTTAGTACTTGCCCAAGCTTTACTATGTAATGACAAGAACCTTGGTAGTGATAAGATCATGGAAATTTTTTTAAAAATCCTATTTTTGTCTACCGGTAGCTACAAATTATATCTATGAATTGTTAGTTACAAATATAATTCTTCTTATTTTTTAAGATTATGAATAATGATGATGTTACTGTGGCTGACCTCTTTGTCCGTAAAATGCCATACTTACTCTCATACTATATTTATAATATGAATTTATTTAACAATTTAATTTATGTTCATAACCACGTAGAAATATTGAATAGTATACCTTAACTACATAATATGTCTTTGGTTTGCATACACATACACTCAAATCTAACCTATTACAAATGTGTCTTATATCCTACATATAAAGAACAGCATTTTAGATTAAATCTGTAGTTTTCATAGACATAGATTTTAAACATGTTGCCTATGAAAAAAAAGGGCTTGCCTCTATCAAATGGTTTCATATTTTTTTCTTTCCTTTTTTCAAATTATATACCGTTTTATAGATTTAAAAATGTAACTTATCAATACTTTATAGCCTTGCATTTACAGAGCAATCTTTCTTGAACCATGAATACAATTACCCTTCTTCAGCGTGACCTGTGTTCCTTCTCTGTTTCCCCCCTTCTTGTCTTTCTCTGAACACCATGAATAATGGATCATACTGTGCAAATGGGACCGACTAACCCTGCGTTGGCCATGTCCTTTTACTTTACGATAGCTCCCATCCATCATATAAAGCCCTCTATCAGGGAATTCTCCAAGTACAAGCACCTGTACCATTTATTTAAGTGTCGGATGGTTTCACACCAGAGGAATTTCATGGAGAATTAGGATGCCTCAGGCCCATTTACACTACAGAACAAACATGATTTTTCCTAATACGCTTCTTGATAAAGACCACAATTTTGTTTTTCCTTGATCTGAGTGTCTCATATTTTCATTCATTGAAACAGTATAAGAGGAACCTGTTCATACAAGACCACGTGCTTCATAAAGACTGCCTTTCTTGTTTCCCTTGAGCGGTCTCCAACTCTCTATACAGGTTTTACTGTATTGATGATACGTTGGAGGTAGACAAAAGTAATTGCTAAGCAACATCCACCATAACATTGCTGTGTTTGTAAAGTTGCGATGTTGGCACTATAGTGTAAATGGGCTTAACTACTGCTGTTTCAAGAGGAATGTGCATCATCTCTATGAATTTATGAAAAATTTCATTAAAGAATTTTAGTTTATTGTCCTTAGAACAACATGTGACAGCATACACGTACAATTATACTTTTTCCCCCCTTTTTCCCCCATCATTTATTACTTGAATTACACTTATGTCAAAAAATTAATTATACTTTTTTTAAAATAACATACCGGTAATAAATATTTTTTTCAGAGGTGATACTTTTCAACATTTGCCCTCCATAATATTTCCTTTAAATAAATGTTGAATATGTATACTTGAGTAGAAAATCATTTTAGTTCATCCGTTTTCTGTTGTGCTTTTTCTCCATCATGTTCACGATAACTTTATCTGGTGTGAACGCACCATGAGGGAATTGTATTTGATAAGCACCTGTGCAATGCGCATTTGACTTCCCAGAGCAAAAAAACACTTATGCCATATGAACATTGGACAAATAAGGGAAATGGATCATCTGTTTAAGCTGCCCAAATCCATCATCTTCCATCTATATCATCAGTTTCATTTATGGCTGGCAGGGAGCTACCATGCTAGCAGGCTGATTGCTTAAAGCTATTCTGAAGCAAGATTAATACTTGGGTCTTTTCCTCCTTGAAATAATAATTATTAGAGGATTAAGAAAGAGAATAATGTTCAATTTGTCTAGAGCTCCAATTATTGTGTAAAATGTCAGTTAGTGTTCTATTGCCTGGAAATAGAGTTTTACAGCACTAGGCTTTAATACATAGAAAAGCCAAATTTTATTTTTTGTATCGTAATAATTTTGTGCACCCATTCTGATTCATTGTGTGGAAAATGACATTTTATATAGATCTGTTTCTATCTGTCAGGTATCCTTTCTTTCTTAATCTGAATTTTAATCGCTTTTTTTGATTTTTGATTTTTTTATTTGTTTATTACCACCTCCTTGTGATGTATTCTGTAACATAAAAAGGATTGTATGTAATTTATTCAATTTCATTTATTTCAGTGCCACCGTATCACCATAGAGGTTTTTAAAAAACCCTGCTTTCAGGCGCAAAGCTGTTTTTCACCAAGTCCGTATACAAAATAAGACAACTTTACAAAAATATTTGATTAACCTTAACATTATATTTTGCTCTATTTTAAAAATATCAATTAAGATTTGTGTTTAGTCCTATCGTGAATTTCATTTATTCTAATCTTCTATTCAGTTTTGACATACTGTAAAGTATTAAGCCGATTACCACGGATTCTGTACATGTACATCACACTAGTTCTCTTGTTATCTCTCACTCTGTATTTTATAGAGAGCCATTGGCTCTTCTAATTTTTCTTTTATCTTATCATGAATTTTTATTTTATTTTTGTCTCCTATTCAGTTTTGACGTACTGTGAAGTAAGCCGATTACCAGGGGTGCTGTACGTCACATTTGTATCTGATAGAGAACCGTTGGCTCTTCTTATTGCATCCTTTATGCCTCTACTGTCTTGCTCTATTCTTCAGCCATACATAAAGGTAAATATACAATAAATTATTATTCAAATTTCACCCGATATTGTTCTTAACAAAAAAACGTTACCTAAAGCATGTCTTTTAGTAGAAGTAACAGTTGTGAGCATTCCTAGCAGGAACAAAACAGACAAATTGTAAGTGGTCTTGAAGAATAAAGGTGTGATCTTTTTATATGATCTTTTTATGCTAAACAGAGTGAAATTTGAGAAAGTTGATTTGCTTTTGCCACTCATTTATGAATATTCAGCATGTTTCCCCGTATCCTTTCAAATTTCACGAAGGTAAATAGTCTACATTCAAAAGTTTAGCAAGCAGCAAGTAATTGTATTTTCTCTTCTTGCTGTTTCATCATATTAATCCAGGGAGTGTTTCACAAAGACTAAGATCGACTTTAAGTTGGTCTTAAGTCTTAACTATGGCAGGCCATTCATGCCACTGGTTGCTCTCACCATTGGTCTCTCAATTATGATCTTTAGATAATATATTTTTTCCTTCAATAATAATGAATTATCTAAAAATATAAATTCTGTAGATTTGTGACCATTATTTGTACGTTCCTTGAGAGACGAATGCCAGTAAATGGTGAGAGCAAACAGTGGCATGAATGGCCTGCCATAGTTAAGTCAAACTTAAAGTCGATCTTAATCTTTGTGGAACACCCCCTAGTCTATCAAATTTCTATCCTGTCTTTGTTTTTCACCTCATTATGTTGCAAATTTATTTCTTCCTCATCATACTGGTCTCCTTGCTTCTTTCTCTGTTTCTGTGTAGGACGTATCTCAACAACTTGCAGCTGAGCAGAAGCAGTTGACATCTTTCATGAAAGACACAGGATCACTCTACACCTGATATCAATGGATCCTATACCAGTCAAACACCAGTACATGACAGGGTGCTACTAACCCACTTGCCAAGGGCAATCTAAAATGGGGGCAATTCTTTCTTTTTTTTCGGGGGGGGGGGGGGGGTGGAATGGAAAGTTAGAAGAGGTTCCAAGAGGCACGTACCACTATTTATTTACCTACACATGATACTGAATATCTCTAATCATATTTATAAAGATTAAAAACAAGTGCAGTTTATGGCAAGTGACCATTACCCTCCCCCCCCCCCCCCCTCACCTGGGGGGTTGGCCATGTTCCCACACCTCTTTCTGCCCTGATCGCTAGATGTGCTAGTGAGCCAGAGTAAAATTTAAGCATGTTAGTTTTCTGAAACACTTCTGTCTCTATTTGTTTTCTTTCAGGGAAATGATATACATTCAATATATTGTATTTAACGATGTTACTTTATTGTGGTATATAGTAGCAAACATAATTTCTTGTCCCTGTCGTGGATATCTTCCTTTTGTGTTGGGTAATTTGTGCTTAATTTCCACTGCAAATGAGTGCTGCAGTGATTGGTCATTATTGCATGAGAAGGGGCAGGACAAGTGAGGCTGTCTATTACAATCATAGTCTCTATTTTATGGACTATAAGGCACCATCTTTTGAATTATACATGTATTAAAGGGATCGTTTAACAATGTTAAATCTGAGATACACGGCCCTAAGTGTTATCAGTGTCTGTGATATGGTGTAATATTGAAGCCATAAAAAAATTGCGCTTCAAAATGATCAAGAAGTGCCTCAAAAAAGTAAAAATCTTTGAGTGACCGGTTTTACCATACTCGTTTTCCCCAATAGACTGTAGTGTTATGAAAACCGTCAGGCGAACGGTTTTCAAAATTTGTAATTCCAATCATAAATATCTTGATAATCAGACAGACGATCGGCTTGTAAAAGTCATGGGGCTCCTGACTGACCTAAAGGTTTATAATTATCATTACATCATGAGCTAAATCCAGAATTTTGTTTCAGAATCTGAGATAAAGTTACCGGATCCCTTTAAACCTGATGTGCTTTTAAGAACACTAACAGTCATACATGTATGTGTACCATAACAAATAATAACAACAGATGATTGAAGTATATATTCATAGGCCATATAGAGACGAGCATGGCACCCGTTTTAAACAACTTCTTTTTATCTCATGTACATCATTCATGTATTGGCATTCCATTTTATATTTCAATTATTCAAAGTGCTACAGGTGGATTCTAGACAGTGATAAGTTTGCCTGATGTGATGTTGTTAATTGTCTTTGATTTGTCTATATTTTTATACTTCATTGCATGGTCTTCTTTTTTAAAATGTACACATTTGAATTGGGACTACTACCTTTTTGTATATTGCTATGAAAAAAAAGTATTATTTTGATTAATTTGAACCCACATGAGGACATTGCTATTCCAGATTGATACCTCATTAGTTCAGTTGGAATTGCTTAACAGTATGCTTATGTCTTATATCATTTATTAATGTCATAGATTGAGTACAGAAATGAATGGAAAAAATAAATATGTGTATTGTACAGGAACTGACACTCTGGTACTTAATCCACCTTTTTGAATAGGCAAAGAAGATTACGTACATGTAGGAGTTATGAAACTGAAATTGTTAATACGTGAACATGAGTTCATTTCATTGTGAAATTCAAAATTGTTTGCTTGTAATCATAATAATATGGTAAGTGTATGGATTATTATAACAATGTAGTTGACTCTGAAGAAATGTAATTAGTGTTCAAGTAGGACTGGTAAAGTTATGATGTATACATGTGATAAAGAATTATATACCGGTATGACTTGTGTGAAAACTGATATATGGTTTCGCATGGTTTTATTTGCATTCTCTTTGAACAAAAAAAAAACAAAACTTTTTTTCATACCAGTTGCATAATGCAGAATGTAAAAATGAATCATTCAAAATGGTTTATTAGGTTTTTGACTCATGCAAGATCTTGAAATAAATTGCCTCTAGAAACCGGTTTTTTTAAAAAAAATAGTTCAACATGTAATTGCTTCCTCGTAATTAACAAAAAAAAACATGTAACTGCATGTTGATGTGTGCAATTGTTATTTTGATTTTGATTCCAGATGTCAAATTCGTATGCATCATAATCATGTACATTTATAACCATGAATGTTGAATATTAGTGACACCATTGTTTTTAGGACATTTCAAGAAATTGTGCTTCAGTAAAAATGAAAAACCATATTTCATTAAGTAGAAAATATTAACTTTTAAGGTAATTTGTTGAATATATCAAATTAATTGCAATTTGAAAGAATAAAATAAAGCACTGAATTTGCCTAAATTTTGTGATTTGCTGCTCAATTTCTCTTTAAACAAAGAGAGAGAAAGAGAGGGAGAGGGAGAGGGAGAGAGAGAGAGATAGAAAGAGAGAGAGAGGAAGAGGCATGAGAAAAGAAAAAAGTGGAAATGAAAAAGTGGAATTAAGAAAAAAACATTGAAAACATGTCAGAGATGGGAAGAGACAAAAAAGAAGGAGAGAGAAAGAGAAGGGGGGGGGGGGGGTGTCAGAGAATGGAGAAACGTTCATGTTATGAAAACTAAATATTCATTTAGTTCCTGCTCTCGTAGCGTTTTCCTTGACGTTCGAGTCGTTATCACCACGACTGTTCACCTACTTCGCTGTTCTTCACGTCACCATTCTTTTTGTCAACCCTTTTTCTATTCGTCTATTTCCGTCTACATTGTTTATATCACGCACCGGACACCGCCCCCGCACCGGACACCGCCCCTGGCCCCCTTCTATCTGGCAGGGAAAGGACTCCGCCCCCGTTTATCCATTTCTGGATACGCCGCTGCCGAATCATTTCCCATTCATCATTGTCATCTCAACTTCCTGCTTCTCTTCCCATCATCCATTGCTTTATTCTGCCCCCAACTAATATCTTCAAGTATTTTACCACGTCTTCTATCCATTAAAAACACACAGAGAGAACGAAATGAGAGCTAAAGAGATGGCAAAAATAATGATATTACAAAAAGTCGGTTTGCGAAGTTTACAGAACATTTAATTTCTGTCGAAATATGGATTTAATATATATAAATTTCACTGTTGGTAATTAATTTGACAACAATTATGATTGCAGAAGAGACTACAATGAATACATATGTTACTTTGTACAATTAACAGAGGAAACTGATAATGATTATGCAAGCTAGTCATTCTGCCTTTACCAACTAATATAGCAGTTTGATATGATAACAGATAAGCACCTTGCGCGCGATGTGATTATTACGTCACAGGGCGCGCAAAACTTATCATAGCAACGCTAAAAGCTGTTAGCAGGTGCACAAGACACGGATTATTAATAACAGGCATTTACAATACACTTTCTTGGTAATTTATGCTCACGGAATATCTCATATTTTTCACAAAATGGATTAACAGCAAAAGGTAGGCGCTTCTTTATCTTTTATTTGCCATGAGTATAATGATGCCTAATATGCTATTGTGCAACCTTTGGAAAAAATGTAAATATAAAATTCAAGTGTAGTTTCTCATAATATAAGAACGAGAATATTTCATTGGTTGCATAACTTGCTCAAAGTTGTGTGCGTTTTAGTTAGGACATTTTAATAGTTTGATTCAGCATTATGGCTTCTTTAATGAAGTTTTTCAAAGTTTCTAATGAAGTGTCAGATATCATCATGTTTATGACTATAAAGCATAATCATAAAATAAATCATATAAACCTGGATTTTATGTTTTTTAGTAAAGGGGAAAACGTACAGCAAAAACAGAAATGGAAATTTAAATGTCTACATATTTACTTGATGCTAATTGGTAGTTATAATCCCATTAGGTTACTGATGTACAAACTGTTGGCATTTCACTATCATCTGATAAACTATTTCTCATCGTCATTTAAAAGTGGAAAATATAATCTTATAGGGGGAAATCAAGTTTAAATTAGGTTGGTTCAGAGATAAGTGAGCTCGTACCAAGCTATAGTATAGTATACCCAATGTTTAATACCAATCTGTTTCCTTGTGAACCAAAACAACATTTGGGCCTCTCAGCATTATTATGATCATAGTTTTATGACTATTTAACATAAATAAAAAAATTACATCCATGCATTAATAAATTAGATATAAAGGACTGAAAAAGCGAAACTATTCTTGTAAAATTTGCATTAAATAATGCTAAAGTTGTGCAGGATGTTAACTTCCTTCAAATAAGTTGTCACCTTAACATGCATGCTATATCCGTTATTCGTCGGTAGATTAATGAAATATTCATGACCCCACGGAGTCTACAACCTGTCAATGACAATTCCCAAAAGCACAGCAAAAATAGAGCACGTCAAATTTCTTATTAAATGGCCGGGGAAAACAAACGGAGAGAAAGAGAGAGAAGGTCGAGAGAGATAATGAGAGAGAGAAAGAGAGAGAAGGGAGAGAGAGGTAGAGGGAGAGAGAGAGAGAGAGAGAGAGAGAGAAAGGGAGGGAGAGAAAGAGAGAGTGGGAGGGGAAATATACGATGTTTAATATAAATCTATATTTAGGTGATTTTAATACGAAATGTATACCCGATACCCTTTTATAAATATTCAGAAATGCAGTTGTATATTTAGGGAAGTTTTTTTCCTAAATTTGAAAAGTCGCTAGTGCATTTGTGCGAGAGGCTCTAATTATTTAATAAAACCAAGAGATTTTTTTTATTGGATCGGCAGAGGAAAAAAGGGGGAAAACATATAAGAAAGAAGTTTGATATGTTACAATACATCCAATCCTTTCCCCTATTTTAATCACGATCATGACTACACTTTTACTTACCTCATAGGCTTATCCTTGATCTGATTTGCTTCATAAATCATAAATAAACATTTTGATGTTAGGTGGAGAGCAGTAGAGAAAAATCCCTTTTCGCTTTTCCGGGGTAATGTAAAAAAAAACAATCAAACGCATATAAGCAAAAAATCAGAGAGAGAAAAATGGTGGTAATGAGGGGAAACCCCGGAGCCATCACGTTAGAAAGGCAAAATAGTTGGAAGCATTGTATGCGTTATGAAAATGAGAGACTGCAAAGAGTGAGAGAATAGAAAGTGATCAGTCATAAGATCCTGTTATGACAATGGGACACGCAGAGAGGCGGATATCAAAACTGATTATCAACCATGGGAGCCATTACAAACATTATCATGATGGCTTCTACACCTAAAAACCAAAAGAACTGCATTTTATCTGGGGGAAAACTATATTGAGCGACTTTTCTAATCATTGTTTCTATATATCCTGATATTCGTACTTATCCCGTTTTGCAAAGAGCAGAAGAGCTTGCAACATTTTGCTTCCTCGTTGTAAATAAAATGTAAATATCTCAATCATTTGCAATTTAGGGGGGGGGGGCACCCTTGATGCACCCCGGCGCCGTTATCATAACCTTGCTGTAAACTGTAGTCCATGTCGTTGCTATAGCCACGGACAAACGTGACATACCTCTTAGGAAAATCGAAATACATTATCTATTGTCAAGTCATACTTGGTTTGAAAGCAGTGAGAAAAGTCACGTGACCTGCACATTTCACTGAATGAGCCATGTTCTGCTGTTCCATTCAAAATAATTCTTTTGGAGTTTTACCCGATCTATAGACGAATGGAATGAGTGATGTCTTAGCTAAGTGCCACATCAATACATTAGTATCCCGTCAATGAATCACTCCCTATAATACCTGTCATCGGGGAAATGGAACGGGTTTTGAAAAACCGTAATTCTTAGTGAAAAATAGCTGGATTAGGAGATGACTGTTTCACCTCATCGTTTTGCGCGGCTCGCAAGAAATGCGAGCGAGAAAGAAAATTCTAATGACAGATACGAAGCAAACATTACTGTATAGCTTCCGGGATAGCTTCTTGGTTTTAATTGTTGTCCTCCATGCAATTAATGTTTTATTGCACTTAAACCCTCATTCTATTTCCAGCATTGGACACAAATCATTGTCTTTCTTTGTATGAGTTAAAATCCAGGGGAAGTTCGAATTTAACTTTATACTAACGAGGTCATTGCACACGACTAGTTACGTTTATTCAGTTTATTAATTCATTTACTTATAACATATTTTATTAATAAAATTATGCATGCAGGCGCGTACCCAGGGGAGGAGGGGGAGGGGTGTTTCGGGGGCTAACCCCCCTCGAATTTTGTTAGTTGTAAAAAATATTTTAAAAATGTGTGTGCGAAAGGAGGCATAAAAAAAGTGTCCCCCCCCCATCCACTGAACGAAATATCTGACGACATAATTTTCCAATATCCGGAGCCCCCCCCCCCAAAAAAAAAAAATGTGCTCTTGCCCCCCCCCCCCCCCCCCGCTTATTCAGCGGCTGGCTTTAGTCGTTTCGAAATTTTCGCCGCGATTTTTACATTTTACTTGAAATCACCCCCCTTGAAAAAATCGTGCGTACGCCACTGTATGCATGCATGTATCGAAGTTTTTCTTGGGGACCTAGTGACGTCGAGTTATTCCATTAACCTGTTATTGATGAATGAACTAGAATACTTGGAATTCAGTCTGCATACATTACTGGTTGCCTCTGGCAAGCTCTCTGGTTGTCAAGAACAACCTTTGCGTGAAAGGTATGCATAACATTTGAAGCTATCTGCGCTTGTCGTCAGCGTTAGCCACAAAGCTATGCCCCATTTTAAAATACAATCAAGAGTCCCCTCTTGCCAGTTTTAACAATATTGTTTACATATCAACTTTAATTTACTTGTCTCATTCACTCTCTACAGTCCCATCCTATATTTTCTCAAGTCTGTAAACAATTTTTCAACATGCAACATATATAGCAGGGTTTTACTTTTCAAATAAAAAGGGAAACAAAGGGTCTTTCACATTCAAGTCTATTGAAAGCATCCACCCACCCTCATTTATAGCTGACATTCCAATAGGGGCTAAAAAGGCCATTTTCGCAATGTAGCCAAATGTATACCTAAGTGCCTCGATACAAATTATTCAATTCATCTGTTACGAATTATTGTATTTCGATAGCCATGCAGTGTGCAAATTATATATGACGTGTTGTCATTGTAGCAACAAATAGTATATGCAATTTGAATTCTGACTTTTGAGATACCTTTTATTCGTAACAGGTGAATAAAAGAATTCGTATGGTGGCGCTTTACAAAGGCATATGCATACATTTGGTTACATTATGAAAGTGGCCTAGTTGGTCTGCAATCACCCAGTGGTCAACATAATAGGCAAGCGTGCTTGGGCATAGAGCTCCATTCAGCTATTCTTGTCTTCATTTAGGCTATCCAGCGAGCCTGGGCTAGCTATTTATTTTTGACAGGGGACCTTTTGATCTCAGGTTTATTTGTTTCAAGTACCCAATCAAGACTGCCAAGCCACGAATTATTTACTGCTTCTTGTCCTACAATCGTTGGTGTCTAAATAACATTCATTTTTTTTTGGGGGGGGGGGAGGGGGCGTCAGGGGCTCAACCCCAAAGCCACCCCCGGGACACGCTGATGGTGTAGCTCTGTCATCAATAGAGTCGAATAAGAATTCACGTTATTTCCCAAACCACATATTAACTATCGACATCATGCACCTTTAAAATGTTTTGCAGACTTATTTCATGTTACAGTCTGCCTTTTCCCGTCCAATAAAATATAGGTCCTTTTCAACAAGTACGCAGTAACCCGATTGGTCTATATCTGAATGTATTTTTACAATTGATATTAAGAGAGACAAAAACCCCCATCATTCATCATCATACATTGGCTGATTCGTTGCGTGGGGTCCGCGCAAACATGGGGAATATGTATTATGTATGATCACATTACAGCTCAGTTTTTACCATGAGCAATTTGTTTCAGTTCTAACAATAAACTCTCTCAAGCTTGAATGAAAATCTTTGAATCCAGAATCAATGTGTAATATATGATTTTGTACAAATTTAATTTCATCATATTATTTCTTTCTTCAAATTCAAGACATTCAAGGGAAAAACGATAAAAGGTTCTGTCAATCCCCGCTGATGCCATTTAAATTATGAACTGCAGCTAAAATGACGATAACTAGTTATAATGTCCCCTCTTATTGGATGAAAGATGTACTGTGTCATTACTTAAACAACTTTATCAAAGTACAAGTATTTCCCTTTGTCATATCATATTCAAATTAAATTAATTAATTAAGTATTCATTCCTTCATTATTAATATGATGCATTGTTTATTTTAGGGAAAGGTATACCCAAAAGAGTTCGTTTTAGTGGTACATAATTATCACTCAACCCGATCCCAAAAATATTGTATTATTAGAATGGTCGGATGTTTGATTTTGTTCACTGCTATTGACGATTTTAACAAGTAAAGTCCCTTGTAAATTCCTTCGAAGGAGGTTACAAACCTAGCGCGTAACTTTTTTTTAATCAAAAGAGTTATACAAGTCAATGTGTTTATTGACGTTCTTCAGAACTTCCATGAAATACATTGTATTATTATTATTGATTCCATATTGATTCCATATTGATGAATAATTTTAGGGATGTTTTCAATTCATGATGCATATGAATAATTAACACATTGCCATTTTACTGTGTCATTTGATATTATAACCATAGAGATCCCATTTTTTAATAATAATTATCTATATATATTTATTAACCATCTAATAAAGGATAGCTATGTTTATCAAAGAGATTCGATCATACACTTTGTCCCGGCTTTGTCCGCCGTAGGCAGAGCCATCTATATAGATGGCTCTGTATATAGATGGCTCTGTCCGTAGGAAACCGATGCCGCCCTCTCGAGTGCGATACAAGACAACTTTCATTTCACCTTTTGTATGTTATCATCTCTTGCAAGTGGAATTGTCGGTCGGTTGCACAGTACTCAATCAACCAATCACATTCGTCTGGCTTCTCATCTAGCAGACGACAGTTTTCTCCCAGCAAACTAAATTTTATTGCCCGCGCTCTCGCTCTCCGACTTCGTAGCGCGCCAGGGAATCGGATGGGGCAAAATTTCCGCTTCTTCTGGTTCAGTAAGAGAGGACAACATGCTCGATTTTTCTTTCTTTCCGCTTGTGTAGGATTATAATGTCCTAGGAGAAATAAATGCATCGACACTTCCTCAGTCGTTGGTATACATAGGTGGAAGCTGGGAATTCAGAAAATGTAGCCCTACTAACAAACATGACAGAGCGACACCTGCGGACACAGACTGACTATGACAGTTTAACTTCTATGCACCGGTAGGTTTGACTTCTTTTCTTTTCTTGCTTCCTTCGCTATATTAAGTAATCGTACTGTTGCAGAAGTAGGAATGTGGCTTTCACCCAATCTGTTCAGGCTAAATTCTTAATAAACTTTCTCCGGAGTGGATTCATAGTCATCTCACGACGACATGGAATTTACCTTCAACGTTTGCCGATGGATAAATCTGAGTTTAATATCTACGATCATGATTTGTACCTTGATGTCGACATCGACTGGGGTTGCGAGGAGCGACCGGAAAGTTCTCCGCGTGGACGGCGATTTGATCATCGGAGCACTGTTCTCGGTCCATGTCCCGCCGACGACCGAAGTGGAAGCGACGGCACGCGAATGCGGCCGGGTACGGGAACAGTACGGGATCCATCGAGTAGAAGTCATGCTTCATACCCTAGCGAAAATCAACAAGGACCCTAAAATACTCAAGGACGTCACTTTGGGTTGCGAGATCAGGGACTCTTGCTGGTATTCCTCAGTGGCCCTTGAACAGAGTCTTCAATTCATAAGCGATAATCTTGAGTCTGAGAGACCGGACGAGAAGAGTACCCGGCCAGAATGCAGTGGGACTACGGAAGGCGACGAGTTCGTAAGCTCCCGAAAGCAAATCACATCAGTGATAGGGCCAGGGTCCAGTGAGGTTGCGATCCAGGTCCAGAATCTCCTTCAGCTCTTCAATATTCCTCAGGTTGCGTACTCTGCGACTAGTCGTGACCTGAGCGATAAGACCCTCTATGAATACTTCTTGAGAGTTTGCCCGTCGGATACTCTTCAGGCTCAAGCTATGGTGGATATTGTACTGAGATATAACTGGACATACGTTTCTGTGGTGCATACAATAGGTAAGTGAAAATCTATTTACGAAATAGAGATCATTGATGATTATTAGAGACATTCAACTCATAGAAACTGGTCTTCTATTTTTACTTGCAGTATCCGTTTTTGAACAAAACCTTTAATTGCTGTTACCATGGTTATTATAGATCTGTCTTTACTAGATGCATCGGCTTGCGAAGAGCAAGAAGTCTCACACGTATTGACAGTAACATGTCTTGTGATTTGGAAGTCATCTAGAAAATCACAATCTAACTACATCGAATTAATTAGATCTGGTAGATCGACGATTGCGGGTTTGGAAGAAAGAGAGTCGGGAGAGGGGAGGAGAGAGAGAGAGAGAGAGCTCTAGAGAGAGAAAAAAAAGAGCAGGTAGAGGAAGCCAAATGATGGTGAAAAAACTGTTTTACAAGATTAACAGAGAGAAACAACGAAACTAGTTAAGGGGGAGGAAGGTCAGGGACATTTCTTTCTAACGCCGATCATTATTGAACACGCGCTTGTAAAAATTCGAAACAGAATTGATTTCATGAAAGGAACACAAACAGGATGATAAATGCATCAAAGAATAATCACCTGTTTTCAATTCTGACATAAGCCTGCAACATGTATGGTAGAACAAAATTAAGTCAACTGAATATTACCAAACACCTGCTATGTTGTCACTTCACGCTCCTCCATACTCAAGCCTGGCTGCCGGACTCGCTCAGGGATGTGATGGAGGGGGGGGGGGGGGGGGGGGGGGGGGGGTGGGGGGGGGGGGGGACTGGGGTGTACGGCCCTTCCAAACACTTTTTTTTTAATGTAAGGGCGATCTCCCCTTTTCTTGCTCACCCCTCCTAATAAGTTCAGGTCCAACTAATCATATTGGTAATATCGAAAATTGATTTTAATTACGGGAATCGATGAATATTCTAAAATTCTTAAAACTCCATCTTTCTGCGGCACCAAGCGTATACTGTAGACATCTCCCATCATAAATTGTTATCCCATTGCAAAATTTGTACTCATTTATCATTTTTAGACTTGTATACCGATAATAAATCAGTGGGTTACAAGATGGCATACACTGAAATACAAAATAAAACGCAAGTATTGCCAAGATTTAGCATTTACAAATAGAGATATTTGGAAATGCCGAAGTGTTCAGAGCTCTCCAAAATGTCCATTGTCTGAAACAATTATTTCTTTCACCTGTTTCAATTAACGGCCACCATAATGTACAAACGCTCTTAATGGCACTACAAAAAAACTCTTTCCTTTATAAAGTCATCTTCAATCGACCTTCAGTGTCTTGACACCTGTAACCGTTTAAGCTCTGTCTCGTAATCAATAAAAGTACCAATTTTGACGAACATTCACCTTTGCTCACACATCTTTTATCATTATTGTCTATTAATCCAACGCCAGGTGAAACCATTTTGATACCTCGTAACAATGATTGACACTGTGGACAATTGGCGGAATGTGCGTTGCTATGGCGACCCCCATACAAAATGTGGATGGGACGTGTCGTCTTCAATTAAGAATATGTTTGTTTAATCCATTACCATGATTAGTACTGAAAGTAAGTAATGGAGCTATGTAAATCATTAAGTTTAGCATCTTCTCGTGCTAAACTTTCATTTAGAATTCTATCTTCATCACGATGCTAATATGGGTAATGACGATAACTTAAAAGGTTAGATATCAGAACTTTTATACAGCGAATGAAGGTATTGAAAGACTTACAGTGCTCATGCGCTGTTGAAGTGAATCCGCACGAAACTAGCAGGATATTCGATGGTTCAATGTCTTGTATACAAAAATAGATGGGTTTGCCAACCGCAATATGAAATTCAATATCATATGGATAATTATTATCAAGATATAATTTATTATGTGTAGACAAAACTCGCAGCATATCAATGTGATATCCTAGGGAAATAACAGCGGAAAGAGAACATGCGAGTTTTTCCTGTAATATTATATCACATCATGATTATTCTTCAAAAGGGAAGTTTCATTTTGTCCACAAGCAGTTTGAAGGACATGATTTGTTGATGATCATGAAACTATATAAGTGAGCTGAACTATTCGTGAACATCATGCGGTAAGGCAATATTGAGAAACAACACTGGTTTCCCTGAATTCTCTGGGATAATGATGGCCATACTAACATCCTTTTCGCTCCTGGCATTTATATTTGATACTTCGAGCTTCACTGTTTAGGTTTATTGATACGCCTGTTGAGAGACAGAAAGGCACTAAATGTGTGTACAAAATATGAGTTAATGTCTTCCTGCCTTTGTTTGAACTTTATCGCAAAACTGTAGAGGATGATTAATGTGAAAGTCATATTGCCCATGAAATCAGGGCTTAGAGATGTAAAGGGTGTTTATATTCATCGTCTGAATATTATTAGCAACTCGTATCTACAAGAACATTCGTATGCGTTGCATTACAAAGTTGTAACTTTTTGCTAATAGATAATTTATAATGAATTAAATGTTGATTAAAAAGGGAGAATTTAGATATGAATGAAATAAATTAATAGGAGAGCAAGATTTTGGGATGAGTGTTTAGCATGGCTGATCAGAAGCCTGAAAGGAAGTGTTTATAATTCCTTTTCCTTATAACGCTAGTACTTGGTCTAATATCTATGTCTAATTTCTTCTACAGCCGATTGTAAAGCTATTAGAAGGTTTCTCTATTTCGATATCCAATGTATCTACAGTGTGAAGCGACTCAACCGACAGGAAAGGAAAATAACTAATTTTCCGGTTCGATTTCTCTTAATCACATTGGCCAGAAATTGAATGCTCATGTCGTATTGAACACAATGCTGCTGTGCGCATACCATATCGACAATTAAATGGTGTGAATACAATAACTTTGGGTGGCATGTATGACTTAAACAGTACTAAGGGCATTCGCAGGTAGCAGCGAATGTATCGTGACTGCTCAAATATTTCACATAGGCCTTCTCATGGACTTTGTCATAGATTTGGTTATTCTCCGTCTTGCCTCCGCTATTTTCTTGCAACAGCTGTAAAGAGACTTTTACTTTCCCGGGATCAGTGTGCCCCTTTCCCCCTTTTATTTGCATGTTTATATCGTTTCTGTCACCCTGTCTCATTATTACCACCCCTTACATATCAACAATACATTATTTTTCATTATCACTTATCATACATATTAAATAGCATGAGTTACATCGACTTCATATTCACAAGCTCTAATTATAAATGTTGAAGTTGATGACAGGCATTCTTTGTAAGATAATTTTCATCCTCCCTGGTATTGTACTGGTGTGTTAAAGCATGGACCTAAAGCAACATGAAAGTTAATAATATGTGGTATCAGGCGCGTACGCAGGATTTTTTCAAGGGGGGGGGGGGGGGGGGTTTTAACATTTATAAATCGGGAAATCGGGCCGACGACTCAGCCGACCGCTGAATGAGCGGGGGGGGGGGGGGGGGGGGGGGGGGTGGGGGGTAAGAGGACACTTTTTTTTTTTTGGTCTCGAAATTTGAAAATTTGACATTTTGCTCCGTTGGGGGGGGGGGGGTAAGGTCAGCTTTTTTAGGTCAACCATGGGAATTTTTTTTTTTTTTTTTTTTTTTTAATAAAAAAATAATAATAATAAAAAAAAAAAAATCCAAAGGGGGGGGGGGGGGGGGTTTACACACAAAAAATTACCAAAGGGGGGGGGGGGGTTTAACCCCCCCCCCCTGTGTACGCGCCTGTGTGGTATTACTATTCTTTATAATATTATTTTCATCCACATGCTCGCATTATACGTGAATGATGATACTGGTGTTATACTGGTATGTTAAAGCAACATAAAAGTGAATAATCTGTGATAGTACTATTATTTATGAATTTGTTGTTATTTTCAAGGGAAAGGGGGGGGGGGGTCAAATCTCGAATACTGCACTGAGCTTCTCCGAAACTTGAACAGAAGTGAATTAATTTCCAGGGGAAAAATGTTTCCTAACATACATGTATTTGGCTAATGTATAGGTCACCTTCTGTAGTTTGCCTTCGTGGTTGCAACACACGTTACATGGAATTTCCTTGCGCACCAATTTTGCTTCAAAATATGTTATCAGACTTCTTAACAAGAGGGTATTCATACTCGCTCTCAGAAAAGACTAAAAGTTAGAATATCTCAACTATGATGACATACGCTGTAAGCACGTTTCCTGCTAAAGGAGGGCGGGATCGGCAAAAGGTGAAGTGGTTTCTTAATCAAACGAAATCATGGCCTAATGAAATAATTGCGATTTCAAAATCCACCTTAAACCCATTTCTATCGAAACCTAATCAATATAATCCCAGAGAAGACAGGCAAGTTATTTATACGTTCAATCGTGACATACCTAAAAGGATTTCCCTGAAAATAATGATAAAGCCGGTAAGTGAATTGATATTCTGAAATGTAAGCTCTAGATCAAGATATCTACCGAAAGCCTAACAGAGGAAAAGGACCTTGCCATTATGAGAAGGCGAGGTAGGTAAACTTGATCAGTCGAGCTGATCCGTTTGATGCTGTCAAGAGCAATATTCTTTGATTACAATAAACTTTGGTAAAGACTTGATATAATGAAAGAAGAATTTAAACGTTATTCCTCTTCTTCAAGGTAATTTACTTCTAATGAAACTTTAAATCCACGCGGTAATTATTATTATTTTGTTCATTTTGCTAATGGAATAAAAAGTGGACACCAGAGTGAAATAAAACAAGCAGACCTGAAAAAAGACGATTTATAGATTCATTATCGAGAGTTTTCCACTTTAATCGGTTTCAAACACTTCTGTCCCCTTTTCTTTGGACGTCAGCTATTTTCACCTGCGTTTGAAAATAAATTAAGAGGAAGTTTCATAGTTGGACATGACTTTGTATGTGCCAAGAGTTTTTTTTAGATACATGTATTTTCTGAAAGGAAGGATTCTGGATATAGGCCTGTTAGCGAACAGAATTTTAATTTTAACTGTGCAGTAACCTATACATTTTCTGTTAAAAGAATAACA